GTGTGGACTTTGCATGTTCTCCCCGGGCCTGCGTGGGTTTTGTCCGGGTACTCCGGTTTCCTCCAGCATTCCAAAAACATGCATAGCAGACTGATTGAACACTCAAAATTGTCCCTAGGTGTGAGTGTGAGCGCGGAAGGTGGTTCGTCTCTGTGTGCCCTGCGATTGGCTGGTTACTGGTCCAGGGTGTCCCCCGCCTCCTGCCCTTGGACAGCTGGGATTGGCTCCAGCACCCCCCGCGATCCTTGTGAGGATAAAACAGATCGGAAAATGAATGAATGAATGAATGAATTTTCTCATGCTTTTTCCCCAGAGGATTGAAGGAGGAGTTGCACCTTCGCCAGCCGAAACCCTGGAGAATGGTATAACACCTCATATGCTCCCGGTAACTCCTTCAGCGCCAAATACCACCGCAGTAGTCTGGTGGTTCGCTAATGTGTCTTTTTGTTTGTGTGCATGTTGTCCCAGCAGACGATGGATTCCCCATCAGAGTTTGTGTTGCCCTGTTCCCCTGAGCCACTGCCCCATCCCAAAAGCCCGGAAGCATTTCGAGACGGTCTGGATGCAGCGCCATGCCCCACTTTCTCTATGTCGCCCCCCGCTGAGGAAAACCTTCCCAACCACGAAGGCCAAGAAGATGACCAACAGAACGGTGACGCGCTTCCTTCCCCCACCCCGGCTGTGGCTCTATTCCCAGGAGGGGGAGGAGCCGAAGCAGGACGCAGTCCGAGTTTGGACTCTTCCCCGCCGGCCACGCCCTCTGCACCCCCCCTTGGCTTTGGAGCTCTGGAGTTTGCTCTATCTTCAGGACCCACCGGAAGCTGCAATGATGAGCTGGACTTGCAGCTCTTCCAGAGGGACGCTTTCACCAGGGCGGCAACAGGACCGTCGCTGCGGTTCTCTTGTCACGTCTGTGGGAAGAGATTCCGATTCCAAAGCATTTTGTCCCTTCACGCCAGAGCTCACAGTCTGGACCGTCACCGCCAAGCCTCATCGCATTATCGCAGCGCTCTCCCCTCGGCGCATCTCAAACAGAACCTCATATTCCAACAGAACAAAAAAGATCAGAATCAGAAGCACGGAGGATACTCGGTGAGTGGGAATCATACACACACACTTCCGGAGGAGGACGAGGAAGAGGAAGAGGAGGAGGAAGAGGATGAGCTCAAAGGCAGCGAACTGGTCCAGACCCGTGCAACATTGAGCCCCCCGCTAAATGAAGACGTTGATCCTTGGACGGTGTCCGCTCCAGCTCCACCGACGTTCCGTTGCCATGCCTGCAAAGGAAAATTCCGTACGGCTTCCGAATTGGCACGCCACATCCGCATTCTCCACAATCCGTACAAATGCACGCTTTGTCCTTTCTCCGCCAACCAGGAAAGCTCTCTGGCATCCCATCTGCAGGAGTGCCACCCCTCACCAGAGGTGCCTGCTTTGCCTTCCGCCTTTTCCAATTCCATCCCGGTCAACGCCCCCTCAGATGCTCCCAAAACCTCATCACCTGCCAAGATGTCAGGGTTGTCCTCATTGCCGGCATTCCGTTGCGATACTTGCGGACAGAGGTTCACTCAGTCGTGGTTCCTCAAAGGACACATGCGAAAGCACAAGGACTCCTTGGACCACAAGTGCCAGGTGTGCGGGCGGGGCTTCAAAGAGCCGTGGTTCCTCAAAAACCACATGAAGGTACACCTCAACAAGCTAGGCCTCAAAGCCAGCTTGGGAAGCACCGATGCCGATCCACAGGCCAAAGGCTCTGCAGGTCCCCTGTCCCTAAACGCCCTCTACTCCAGCCTTCTTTTGGCTCACCAGGGGTCTGGCAGAGCAGTGCAAGGGAGACCAGAGAAAGACACTGCAAGCAGGATGCGACCGGCTTCTGGCAAGTCAGCTATCCTGGGCTACTTGGGCCTTCCCAGTGACAGCGGCGGGGCCAGCTGCACGGAGAGACTCCAAGCCGTGGCCCAGGTGGCTGAAAGGGGAAGCAGCGGTGGCGGCGTGAGCTCGGAAGGAGGGGAGGCCGGAAGAGAGAGACCGGAGCCCAGATACACCACCGAAGGAGTGGAGCAAACCCCCTGGTGGCAGCTGGTTGCTCGAAGCCTCGCTGTGGCTCAGCAGCAGCAACAGAGAGAGAAAGACCGGGCTCACCATACCCGTCTAACCAGGACACTGGGAACAGAAATGGATCCACTCAGAGCCTACGCTGACGCTATGGATCCTAGAGGAGCTTCTGGAGGAACCTCCGCAGCAGCGAAGGGTCCCTGGGAATGCCCCGACTGCGGAAAGCTCTTCCACAGCTTCCAGCAGGTGCTTGTTCATGCTCGTCTTCACACTCACAAGGCCCAGGAAGAAGGCTCCGCAGGTGAGATGGACGGATCTTGCGGCTCCAGCCGAGCCAGAGGAAGCCAAGATGAACTGAGGCAGGAATCCAAAGTGCAACAAGCAGTGGCGGCAAGCTTTCCCTCTGTCATGCCAGGCTTCAAAGGTCAATCTCTTCTGCACCGGAGTCCTTTGGCTTTGCTCGCTGCTTAACCTCCTCATGTTTGTTTGTGCTGCTTTCACAGGAGAGAATGGGACCATGGCGGCGCTGTCTGCTGTGCCTTCGCATACCAGCAGCAGGGAGCGCGTCCGTGGTCGAGGGATTAAGGATTGTCCCTACTGCGGTAAAGCCTTCCGCTCATCCCATCACCTCAAAGTGCACCTGAGAGTCCACACAGGTAGGAAGCTTCTGCTGTTGACGTCATGTTCATCAGCGTTCAAATCTCAGCTCGACGAACCTGCTTGGAAGATTGCTTGTGCTTCTTATTTCGCAACATCATAGATTCTGTTCATTATGCTCTTTCAAATGCCGTATTGGCCCGAATATAAGACGGTGTTTTTTGCATAGAAATAAGACTGAAAAAGTGGGGGTCGTCTTTTATTCGGGGTCTAGACATTATACCCATTCACGACGCTAGATGGCGCCAGATATCAATGAAGCGAATGCTGAACTTGGCTCTCCAGACCAAAGTGAACCCCTGCCACGAAGAATAAAAATATAAAATAGTGGTAAGAAGGAAAAGAGAAGAAAATAATAGAAGAGATAACAGAAAATGTAGTGACAATGTGGAGAAAAGTGGGTCGAAGATTGGCCAGGTTAACCAGAAGCTGAGAAGTTATGATGTAATTTACATTTCAAAAACCAGAAGCCATTCATTTACGAATGTGACTGCACTTTAGATTTGAATGAGGCAAAATAACATGCTTTTTCTCTCAAATATATTGTTATAATCATTTCTTTCAGATGTACTGTAATTATTTTCTATATAAAAATGAATTTGGTATTCAAAAAGTCTTTTTTCAAACTTGAGTCTTGAAAAAGAGGGGGTCGTCTTATAATCAGGGCCGTCTTATATTCGGGCCAATACGGTATGACTTGAAACCAATTTTCTGTCCTTTCATTTGATGGTCACCTGACCTAGCTGAAGAATTGATGTTCCCTCGTCATCAGCTGCTGTGATTTCAATCTCTGATGTAACACTGCCCTCTGCCTCACCGGTGAGGTAATGGAAGACAATTTTTTTCCATGACTAAAATGCCTGACTTGTTTTGTCAAGGTGAGAGACCCTACAAGTGCCCCCACTGCGACTACGCTGGCACCCAGTCTGGCTCGCTCAAATACCACCTCCAGCGGCACCACAGGGAACAACGCAACTCATCAGGCTCCGCCACGTCCTCTGTGGGCAAACTTGCTGCCGCCATCAACGGTCTGACCTCTGTTAAGCCGCGCCGAACGCAAACTGATCTCAAAGCTCGGTCCGACAGCCCCGCCCAGCGATCTTGGCTCCTTGGTCTTCCGCAGCAGCAGGAGCATCGAACCGGTCAAGGAGCCCTTGCGTCTCTAAGGGACCTTGACGCGGAGACCCAGTACCACTATCTATCGGGGGCGATGGGGGCCTTCTACCCTGGTGGTATGGAAGGAGCATGGATCAAGGAGTCTCCTCCTCCGAAAGTCCTCAAAGTTTCCCGCCGTAAGCCCCTTACTACCAACCGACTAGTGGTGGCCTCCGACAAACTAGCGTCGCCTGGTCTGAATCAATCAGGCGGCTTTGAACCTCTCGATCTGTCCCGCCGTCCAACCCCAGGCCTCGAAGGGCTGGAAGAAGGAGGAGGAGAAGACATCAAACTAAAGCAGTGTTTGGACTGTCCTTTTCGGACATCCTCAGCTGAGCTCATGACCATGCACCTCCAGGTCAACCACACCAGTAAGTCCCGACGTAAAATTAGCTCTTTGTCCGCCTTGGATGACGATGATGAGGACGGGTCCACGAAGGGTACCAGATCCTGCCACCAGCCCAACTCCCTCAGGATTTGGGGGCATGCCAACAAGTCTCAAGCGGGAGCCCTGCAAAGCTCCTCAAACCAGATCTGGACTCCCAATGGGCTGGCTGCGGACCATCATGGTGAAAAAATAGACCCCAACTGGGCTTTGAATGATGGCCTGGCTCTCCAAAGCGAGTCGGGGGGTGAAGATGGTGAAGAGCAGGAGGACGAAGCGGAGTGCAGCAGCTGCCCTGAGGACCAATCCGAAGGAAATGTCCTCGCTGATTAAAACAACTGTGGATGTCCAAACAGCTGCACATTTTTCCAGATATTTCTTTTTACTCGTTTTTCCCCCAAAACACATTTGTGAGTTCAAAAAGCATTCCAGCAAAAGTGGTCCATGTCCAGACTTGGAGGTGGGATACTCTGTGCAGTCAACATTGTATTTTTTGTCTCTTTTCAAACTGGAGTTGTGTAAATCGGTGGACTCAGCTTGCGCTTCCAGTGTTTTTGTTTTTTTTTTGTAAATTGAGGAAAGCTGATGTCTCGATGAAAATAGGAATGTGCAAAGGTAGCAGCCACGAGGAAAAGACTAACAAAAGCAAAGATGTCCCAGTAGAAAGTGTAGCTTTTACCACAAGAGAAAAACAAAAAAAAAGGTTTTTAATAGTATTTGTTTGGTTGGAAAATGACCTTGATGTTTGTGAGCTGAATGTCCTTACGCAGCACTGTGCAACTTGTCCTTCTTTTAGTGGATCAAAAGTTGTTTTTCTTATTCACGATGGATCAGCTCCCGGTCCGGGTGCGTGGTGTTAATGAGCGTCAATGTGTTTCCGCGGGAATGTACTGCCACAGACGCCGATCTTCGATCTCCGACTGGACGCTCCTTCCGAGCGGCAATTCTACCGTGCCTTCTGTTTCAAGCACTTCCTGCTCTGTTTTGTACAACCGGCTTCTTTCTGTCTGTCCTTTGCGCCAAAGCAGAACCCCCTGAGATGGAGACGAGACTCAGTGTGACTTGGACCGGAGTAGACTGGCGCCACTGTTTTCGTGACTTGTAACTTGAATCGACCTAAACTAAAAGACTTGCGGCTGGATTATGACTGACTTGGGAGTTTACAACTGGAGACGTGACGAGTTGTTCTAAATGTATTAATTTTAACCCTTTCATGCGCCCTCTAACCTGATCACATGATAAACTGTCCACTAGAGTAACCGCTGTCCCTAAAAGGGTTCATTGGTCACTAATGTCGTGAAATGACTGTATTTCTCTTTTCTCTTCATGAAGACCGGATACTGCAGGCGAGACTGCGTTAAGGAAGCTAACTTGACTTGCTCAAGCCACAATCAAAGAGTTGAGAGGTGTGTGAGACTCGTGTGTGTGCGTGTGTGTGTGTGTGTGTGTGTGTGTGTGTGTGTGTGTGTGTGTGTGACTTGATCCCATCTCTGGCAGATGCCCTCAGCCCAGACCCTAAACCAAGGACATAGTGTTCAAGCCCACGAGCTAGATTAAATCTAGCCCAAATCTGTCCAACGAGACACTAAAGATAGACGGAGACCAATCATCTTCTCCCCGTCGCTCTTCCTGCCCGTCCGTCCTTTTGTGGTCCTGAGGCCTTTCTTGGACTTCCATGTGTGTTTGACATGTTTTAAACATGCTCTTGTGCTTGAAAAGAAAAGTCGTGTTGAATGTTGTACAGCTAGCTAGCTTAGAGGTGTCGCTGGTACTATATATTGTTTTTATTGTTTTGTTTTGTTTTGTTTTGAAAAGAGTGAGAGCACAAACCCAAACAACCGCTCCCCCCTGACTCAAACAGGCCCACCAATCCGATCATCAGCTTGGTGTAGAGAGGGGCTCGTTTTGAATGTACGGCGATGCGCCCGGCCCTAAATTGGCTAAGAAAGGAAATAGCCTCCCGCAATCCAAACGGTAATTGGCCACTTGGACTATTTGCACCTTATGCCCCGCCTGTCAATCAACGGGTGTCCCAAGGCAGCGCAAGGGTTTGCGCTCTCGTGTAGTTGACTGCCATTGCAGTGAGGACCGAGTCATCTAACATACTCTAGTCGTGACTAATATGATCAACATCAACAACAAAAAAAAAAGAAGTAAATAAACCAATAGATGACGTGATTGAATGTGTTTCTCTTCACAAGACTCGAGTTGCAGCTCAACAGCCACTCTGAGATACTTCACTCATTTAAAAAAAAAGTTCCAATTATACTGTCAACGTACTTGAGTTGACATCGTGCCATCTGATTGACAGAAGGAATGGCAATAGCAATACAAGATTAGCTCATGGCAATATTACCAATTAGATTCTATGCCCTGTTTGAACATTTACTTTGAAGATGAAAAACGAGACCAAAGACCAACAACGGCCAGTGAAACACCTCGCGCTTGTTTATCACATGTTCAAAATCGACACATATGATATCCATCCAACTTCTTCATCTTCTGTATATTTATGCAGAAAATCGATCGTTTCCATATTTATAGCGTCATTAATAGTGAACAGCATGGTGCTAATAAATAGGCTACGGTGTATGCAATTAGTGGCTGATGCACCGCCCCATCACATGCAAGAAAAGACTTCATTTTTCTATCTTCATCTTTCTAATTCCCTCTTGCCACCCTACACCGCTCTCTCTCTCTCTCTCTCTCTCTCTCTCTCTCTCTCTCTCTCTCAGTCTTCCTACACTTGTAGTGAATATTTTATAGGAACATATGAAGTTTCTATATGACCTGAAAGAAACCATCCATCCATTTTCTAATCGGCTTATCCTCACGAGGGTGGCTGGGCCCATCCCAGCTGTCTCCGGGCAGTAGGCGGGGGGCACCCTGAACTGGTTGCCAACCATACGCGCTCACACGCATGACTAGGGACAATTTAGAGCGTGCCATTAACCTGCCATGCTTGTTTTTCGAATGTTGGAGGAATCCGGAGTCCCCAGAGAAAACCCACTCAGGCACGGGGAGAACATGCAAACTCCACACAGGAAGGCCGGAGCCGGAATCGAAGCCCGCACTGTGAGGCCAACGTGCTAACCAGTGGGTCACCGCGCGGCTTGTAAGAAACCAATCCTCATAATTGACCGATGTTGATTTATTTTTGACAGAATGGCGCCCTCTAGTGCACCATGCTGACAGTACACTGATTAACTTTGGAGCTTTTTTTTTTCCTCTGCAAAGCCGCAGCAGCAGGACGAGGACAATCAACCGAATAGCGGGGAGCAGTTGATCGACTACTCCGGGCTCGACCTCTTTTTGACGCTCCGTTAGCCTCCCTGCTGACAGAGTGGAGGGGGTAAAGCAGGGCGGGGGGGGGGGCATCAAGGAGAGCGAACGAGCTAGCGATTGAGCATCCTCCTCTGCTTCTTCCTCCTCCTCCAGTCAGCTTCAGTCTGCAGCCTCACTCGCTCTCGCAGCATCAGCCGGCTCCAGCAGCAGCTTTATTCTTTTTCTTCTTCATTTCTCTCTCTCTCTCTCTCTCTCTCTCTCTCTCTCTCTCTCTCTCGTTCTTCTCCCCCAACGGTTCTCGTTGTTCTTTTTCTTCTTGTTGACTTTCGCGGCGGCGGCAAGTCGCCCTCCTCATCGTTTTCCCCATCGTCCAGAAGCGCTGCAGTTTTGCACCATGAGCGAGGTGAGTGTAAACTCATGCTTCGTCTTCATCATGCACCACACACTCTTCCTCTTTCTCCCCCGAGTCTTCTTCGATCTCAAGTCGCCGCGTCAACTCTCCGGCTTTCTTCTTTTTCTTCTTGAGCTTATTTTGTCGCAGTGTTGTTGCGCTGCAGAGGCCTGCTGCTGCTGCACGGAACGCAAACATGATCAAACTCAAAACAGCTCACTTCCCAAACACATTTCTGCGTCGTTTACAAAAACTTTATTTTTTTAAAGTTTGAAAAGACTCCTCTTTTGAAACACGGTAACACTTTCTAGTTTTAAGACAATTCTGGGAAATAATATTCAAAAGGCAGTGTGTGTTTGTGTGTGTGTGCGTGTGTGTGTGTGTATATATATATATATATATATATATATATATATATATATATATATATATACGGTATTGCATTTGTCTGATGTGTTTATGTAGTCACTCGGTGCTGATTAAAAATCCTTATTTTGTATGTATGGATCATCCATACATACAAAATAAGGATTGTACACAAAAAACAGACATGCATCCATAATGGATGCATGTCTGTTTTTTGCAACATACGATGCTGCTGCCTATCTATCTATCTATCTATCTATCTATCTATCTATCTATCTATCTATCTATCTATCTATCTATCTTCTAATCCGCTTATCCTCCACGAGGGTCGCGGGAGTCCTGGAGCCGTCGTTGGGCAGTAGCCAGGGGACACCCTGAACTGGTTGCCAGCCAATCACAGGGCACACACAGACGAACAACAATCCACGCTCACATTCCCACCTAGGGACAATCTGGAATCTGTTCAATTAACCTGCCATGCATGTTTTTGGAATGTGGGTGGAAAGTGAAGTACCCAGAGAAAACCCACGCAGGCACGGGGAGAACATGCAAACTCCACACAAGAAGGCCGGAGCCGGAATCGAACTCTTATTTACTGTTGTTAGTGTCTTTGATTTGATTTTGTGTTCGATGTCTTCTGCTGATGTGGTCAAATTCAACTTAGCTTAGCTTTTCTTTTTTATTTCCTGGCTCATACTTGACGTCAGGAGCCGTACGTGTCTTTGTTTGACAGCTCATCTCCTCGGGCTGAAAGCTCCTCAGCCGCTTCCTTTTCATTCTTTTCACCGGATTCTATTCAACACGCACACGCATACTGTGTTCTCATTGGCAACGGCTCGAGGTGGCCGTTGGCGTGAATGGCATGTGCACAGCGTGAAGGCTTTTGGCACTTTGTGGGGGATATCAGAGGAAGGATGCAGGAGAGCCCTTGCGTAATGACAGGATTCCTGTTTTCAGCGTTTCCGCTGTGTGACAGATGTTTGCTGGATTTTCCTCTTCTCGCTCTCCCATAAGAGCATACTTACTTTCACTGAAGTCCACACACACACACACACACACACACACACACACACACACACACACACACACACACACACACACACACACACACACACACAGATACTGTCCTCTAATTCAACAATAATCTTCTCCATACTCGTGGTCTGCGTGTTTGTCTTCCATGTGAGCAATGCGGCCATTGAACCCTTTGACTTGCGTCTATAAATATACGAAAGGGACTTCATGCTGTTCTATGGCAAAGCTCTACTGTATATTTGTGAGTGAATGAGTGAGCGTGCGTGTGTGTGTGTGTGTGTGTGTGCGTGTGTGTGTGTGTGTGCGTGCGTGCGTGTGTGTGTTTTCCATCAAACATTCATTGCAGAACACAAGCTTCTCCAGCCCCTTTTCCCCTTCAGGACTATTTCAGACCCACACCCACTGGCTTACATAAAGCCATTAAGGCACTATTTTTAATGGCCCCGCTTCCACTTCTTCAATAGAAAAAGTGACGAGTCAAACATTGGCTAAGTACCCCCCACCCTCCCCACTATTGCCGCCCACAAAAGCTCTGTTCTATCTTTACAATTGCCCAATGAGGACAATACCGCGCACCGATGCGCCATAAGACGTCACCATCGGGGTTTGGGAATGTCGCTTGTGGGGAACCTCCAGTTGGAGCCTGCGTGTGCTCTTCCTTGCCGGGTGGCCAAGTGAAGGCTAGAGTTCTCTTTAAAAAAAAAAAGAAAAAAAAGGGGGGGGCGGTTTCAAGGTAACATTAGGTGGAAAAAAAAGGAGGTATTGCAGCATTACATAAGAGCCCTATTCCTCGTATTCCCGCTGCGGCGAAATCAGATGAAGCGTCACTGCATAATATCACATGTGGCTCATTCCAGGAAGACAAGCGCGCTGGGGGGCAGGGGGGGGGAGCTGGGGGTGTTTGTTGCTTGTGCATCCATCTGGCTCCCATTCACGCTGGCCCACTTCTCCCTCAATACGCCGCGTCCGTTCCAATCTTCCTGCATTTCTTCTCCTCACGCTCCATATGTGTCTTTCTCTCGCCTTCAGTCGTCCTGTGCTTCTCGTTAAACGCTGCAATCTGTCTTTGTCTCTCGGGCTCAGCCTGACAGATGCACGGGGTGGCGATTCCGACTTTGTTCGTTATCGCTTTCACGTTTCTTGCTCTCGATCCAAATCTCAGCTCAAGTGACTCTGCATTGAGCGGATTTGTCATCATCAGTGCGAGAATGTGTCGTCAAGAGTACTGGAGTGAGCTGTATCGACTGAGTTCTAATATTTGGGTGGTGTTTGATGTAGTGCACTCAGCACGATACTCAAGACATGACACGAATAGCTCTCGTGGTTGTTTGTAAAGCATCTTTGGGTGTAATGTTGTCTAATCAAACACTGACTGAAATAGTCGGTTTGCTCAAAGCCGTGTCAGGTGATTGCTTGGAATGCAGGAAGTGAAAAGTAGCATACGTGAGCCAGCGTAGGTTCAACAAAGAATAGAGGGAAAGTCTGAAAAAATTGTGAACATGAGTGGTTTACAACAAAACAATTTTGGATTAAACGAATGATTTTTGTGTGAATTCCATGTCAGCGTTTCAAAGAATGTTTGCTGTACTGGCGGTTGAATATACTGTGAATCAGAAAATGTCATGAAGAGATGACAACAGTATTCAGAGGGATGCTTTGTTTGAAGATTTGTGATGTGCCTCGCTCTGGCCAGGGGATTTCAAAGATGAGGGTGGCTGACTTGCTGGTTCACCGGGAATTTGTGTTGTGTCTGTTTTTGTTCTTCTGCGTCTTGTAAGTCAACATGAATCGAAAAAAAAAAATGAACAAAAGTAAGGAGTTGCTCACATGCCTTTTGGGTGAGGATTGGCCCCCTGTCACGTGACCGCCTTTGTCAAAGGTTCGCATGGCCGGGCGTCCACAAGTCCGACATTTGGATTAGCTTCCCTCCACATATCCATCCATCCATCCATTTTCTGATCCGCTTTCTCCTCACAAGGGTTGCGGGGTGTGCTGGAGCCTATCCCAGCTGTCTTCGGGCAGTAGGCGGGGGACACCCTGAACCGGTTGCCAGCCAATCGCAGGGCACACAGAGACGAGCAACCATCCGCGCTCACACTCACACCTAGGGACAATCTTGAGTGCTCAATCAGCCTGCCATGCATGTTTTTGGAACGTGGGAGGAAACCAGAGTTCCCGGAGAAAACCCACGCAGGCCCGGGGAGAACATGCAAACTCCACACAGGAAGGCCGCAGCTGGAATCGAACCCGGTACTTCTGCACTATGAGGTCGACGGCTAACCACTCGCCCACTGGGCCGCCCTCCCTCCACATAAACACACAACTTGTCATCCGTCTTCTGACCCTCAGCCAGTTGCGTCACAGAGGGTGCGATTGTGGAACCTCCGTCTGTCACTTGCATCTTGTCTTCTGCTGTCGGCCACACGCTGGCAACATTCCAGAGCTCTTGATGCCACGCCAGTTGATGAACATTTGCGCTAATGTGCTGTTTTGTTTTGTTTTTTTTTCCTCCCATTTCCAGTTGACGTCTCCAAAGTCGGCCAACAGCGGCCAGGTGGCTGCAGACGACAACAAAGGTGCGTAAATAACCATGCTCCTGCAAGAACATCCGTTAAGTGTTGCCTTATGTGCCGTGCCTGTGAGATCGCTATTTTTTTTAGCAAATGCACCGAGTCATTGTGACATCACACCAAACAAAGCCGCATAAACTGCCGCTCATGTGTTACATGAGCCGAATCTGGTTGGCACTTCGGAGGGAGGAAATGCAAGATGAGACCAGCACTCAGCAGTGGTGCAGTTTGTTGGAAAAGGACAAAACTATACCAGATTTTCTTAGAAAAGGACAAAAGACACCAAAATATTTTAGAAAGCAACTAATCTGACTAAAATACGTTCGAAAAAGGACTCAGCTCTACCACACTTTGTTCGGACAAAATAACTATTAGTACCGGTACATAAAATAACCGGCTGGCTGATTAATCGGACTATTTTGTCTCTTCAAGCATATTCCAAAATAATCGGCCAAGCGGCTAATGTGTGCCGATTATTTTTACCTTTCTGTACTCTTACCATTCATAGCAGTTGTACACAAGTGACACTGGGGTCATTATTTAATCCCACATTAATCTCTACCATAACCTTGTATCACTAACTATTGAAAAAAATAATGAAATGTGGTCATCAAGTAATTCTATGGACGTGTCATTCAAAACAAAGCAAAAAAAAAACAAAAGTTAGCAATGCAAGTTGTGAAAGGAATTGACCTGGATGTCACCATTTCACATCGAACCGAAAGTTATGGTTTGTTTTTTAAAAAAATATATTAAAAAATCAAATAAAAACTCGATGCAACAAAAGTATTAAGTGTGACACACATTCAACTACTGGTCACACAAACACATATTAGAAGTATTAATGTCCTTGTAACGTAATTATTTAAATGCATTGCACCACACAATGCATTCATGGGAACTGAAAACAATTATTATTATATTGTAACAGTATATTTTCAGTTGAACCCCACTATTCACACGGAATAAGGACCAGGCCGCCATGCGAGTCGTGAAAATCTGCAAAAAATTGACTCCCAATTAAAAGCATGGGGTGGGGGAGGTTATTTAATGCGTTATATTTATATTTTTTAAACAAATCTGTCAATTGATCAGTTGGTTTTATTTTTTAAATTTTTTTGCAATGACAGCGGAATAAAAAACATTTTATTTTAGTCGAGACCTAAAAATAACAACACAATTTGTTAGAAAAGGACAAATCTGACTCAAATTATTTCATGAAGGACTAATCGAGACCAGAATGTGTTCCAAAACAAAAAAAAAAAAGAAAACATCGAACCAGAATGTACGACAAAAGCACAAAACATGATTTGTTAGATAACTAATTGAGTGGAGAATGCCTGAATTGAACAAATCTAACTGAGCCCCGCCAAATCCCCCCCATGCAGAGAAGGCCTCGGCGGTAAAGCCTCATGAGCAGGAGGAGGAGATCGACATCGACCTGGAGGCGCCGGAAACGGAGAAGGCGGCGCTGGCCATCCAGAACCAGTTCAGGCGTTTCCAGAAGAAAAAGAAGTAGACTGACACAACCGGAATGGGAACCCTCCCCCTCCCCCTAAAAAAAGAAAAAAAAAATCTTTCTGCTGATGTACAGAAATGTTGGGGTGGGCGGGGCTATTATTTAAGTGATGAGGATTTTTTTTTTGCTAACGTTTGCAAAGTATCAAAGAGGTTTTTTTTTTTTTTTTGCATGAGAATGAGCAGAGGTGCTTGGGGAGGGGGCGGGGGTAAAAAACTGCAACTCAAGAATACGTCCCGATGACGGCCGCGGCTCACAACGCACAAAAACAAACACAGACGACAAAAGACAAGCACACTCGGCTGGTATCCGGTTTCATGATGGCGAAGTCGACGGAGGCGCCGCTTGCCCCTTGTGTCTCCGAAAGGACGGGACAAGGAAAACGCAGCCCAGTGTATTGAAATATTTCTGCAGTCATCAGATCCAAGGTGTCACTAGCACGCCACTGACGTCACTCTCCGCACTTTGGTAACCTGAACACCTCACGCACGAGTACCTACCCGCGGCTGGCGTCGCGTTACCTCGGGTTCCGCTCGCTCGGTGTCGGCTTCACCCTCAAATCGGCGCTCGTTCACCTTCAGGACGCTGATCGCGAGAAACTAGGACAAAAGCCGGCCTAGATTTCGAGCACACGGTGCCACCTTGCGACTCTTTGTTAACTGCTAACGAGAGCCTAATTAGTCCGTTATTATAGGAATGTAACCTTGTTTCTATTTCCAGCCAGGCAGGCACAATTTCCTCCTTTTTCCTCCTTGGCTACATGCCTGTAGTTGTTCTATTAGACGCACATTTCCTTCTTGCTATACTCGCATTTTTTTGGAGATTCCCATTTGTACGGGTGGACGTTCAATTTGAACTTGCACCACTCGGTGCTCTGGCTGTGCTTGAAATCGCCGCATATGACAATCTCCGGCAAAAGGATTCAAATGAGTTTTAAAAGGACAAATCCCAGTGGCGAACTGGTTTCAAAGAAAAGGACACATTTGTGAGTTAGCGTTCCCTCAAGATAAAAATCTACCGAGAAAAGACAAATCCAACTACGCTTTTTTTTGAATGAAGCATCAAGGAAGCCATCTATGTCCAGCTAGAAACGTTGTCTCCAAACAGATGAGGAGGTTCTGAGGTTTTACTCAAACATCTGACTTCAAAATGGGTGCCGAAGTCCAAGGGCCTGTTTTGGATGTCTCCCTCCTCCAACACACCTGATTCATATGATCAGGTCTAGAACTAGAACAATGTCCTGACATCACCCCCCAGAGAACGTGGCTTTTAATGGGAAGTGTGGCCGTAACAAGACGTTTGAACAACTGATCGATATGCCGGTGGTTTCACGAACCAAACAGCCTTATCGTTGCAGAAAAAGTTGCTCCAGTTGCTGACGTAGTTTGGAAGTAGGTCAAGCTTTTCGTGAAGCCAAGTCGCACGGTGCGGCTATATGGCCTTAGCGCATTAGCATGTTAGCATGCGATTCCAAACACAGCCAAGCTGACGATGGATGTCCTCCGCGGCATTCCTCCTTCACGTGACCGCTGTTTGATTTGTTGAAATGCTTTGTGTATTAATCCTGGTGTGAAGGCATGTGACGTCCACGACACTTTTTTTTGTGCACTCAATAAAATCTGCTGCATTTGGCATTCCACTCGTCTTGTGTTGCTTTCTCTGCTTTTGCTCAGAGGGAAAGTCAAAGTTTCACTAACAACTGCGACAAGCTACGACATAGGGCTCTTTACGTTTCTCCCATTGAGCAATCTGACCACTTCTTACACCCTTGAGACCACCACGAGGCTGCTGGCGAAATAGGGACATGCATGTTTTTGGAATGTGGGAGGAAATCGGAGTACCCGGAGAAAACCCACGCAGGCACAAGGAGAACATCCAAACTCCACACAGGAAGGCTGGAGCCAGAATCAAAATCTGCACCTCTGCACTGTGAGGCCGACGTGCTAACCAGTCGCTCAACTGCCGCCCAAAGGTAAATATATTAATTGAAAAGAAACATATTGCTTGTATTTATTACTGTTATTAATGCTATTTTAAATGTTTGTTTGTTTTCTGATGTGCAGCTGCTGAGTATGTTTTTTACAGTGCTCTTTAAAAACTGTTGAGGAAAAGCCTTATGTATTTGTTCGAATTGGTTTGACATAACAGAGATGAGAATGAGTTTGCATCGGTTCATTTCTTGATGATTTGTTTTTAAAAAGAGACATATTGTTGGAAAAGGGTCCGATTTCTAATTTCTTTGTTTGATAAGCATGTTGACGCAGGCCACTGATTCTAAATGCTCTACTGACCTACTTGGAAATGCGCCGACGGTTCTACGTTCTATTGCTTTTCCTGTCACATGCTACTGTCAAGACTCGCTTGACGGAAGTGAACGGCGCCTTCCTTCACAACAAACGTTACTAATGTGACAGATGATGAAATTGCGTCAAAGGTAAATCCTAAATATTGTCGTTTTGACGGCATCACGCATTGTGTTCTGTGTTAGATAGCAACAAATGTCAAATTTGTTGAAAATCGACGACGATGTTTCAGTAACGGAAGTGTGATTTTAGCGAGTTTAACTCGAGCTGCTCACTGCGAGTAACGAGTCGCGAGTAGCGAGTCAGACGACAAGAACACACTTGGACCAAAAGGCATTCCTTTCTTTGGTTTTGTTGTGTTGACACAAGCAAAACAGAGAAAGACTTGAAAGCAAATCACTGGAGTCCCCTCGTGCGAGAGAATGAGAATAAAAATCGCCTGCTATGAGAAATGAGTCACTCTATTGTGAGGGTTAATTTATATGTTCTACCAAACAAAAATCTGTCTTTTGAAGTCTCATAATAGCGTTCAATGATTGAGGAGGGCAACATTTTTTTTCATCAGCGCTACTTGGCGTCCGCAGAGGACTGCACACTCATTTTTAATTGGGACATTATACTGTGTGTGCATATGTCTGTTTTTTTTTTTTTTAATTGAATCGATGCACAGAAGAGTTTCTTCATGTATTTTAATATTTTAATGTTTAAAGAAGGATCCACTGCTCTAACACAAAAAAAGCATATCTTGACTCTCCATTAATTTTGAAAATATATTTTTTTTACTGTTGCGGACCCATTGAAAGATGTAATACCAATATTAACCACAGGATGGCACATACCACACCAGCACCTCCAAGGTTGAGGCTGTAATTGTGAAGAAGAGCGTGTCATGCTCTCGAGTCTCGACCACACTGGTGTCAAATGTTCACAAGAGTAACCGTTTTTTTTTCTACAGCGTTGACAGTTCGTTTAAAGTGCATTGAGGAGTTAATAAATTCAAGTCCTACAAAAACATGGACATATGCAGCGCTTGATAGTGTTAACAAATGTTTATGGTTGCTTAATTGGCCGTTGTGATTGACGACGTGGGGGCACACATCCAGGACCGCCTTCACCTTTCACGCGAGTGAGCCATCCTATTCATTTTAATTAATTAACCATGTTGTAATTTGAAAAATAAAGAACGTTTGTAAACATTATTGGTTGCCCTGGTAGCAAGGAAACTACTTGTTCCTTGCTACCAGTTGTTAGCTACTTGTTAGACTTAATGTTGAATTTACCTTAATTGTAAGATGTCCACAAGCTAGTCTTTCGTAATATCTTGTGAAATGTTCTTCGCGTGAAATAGAGTATCATGTAAAAGCTATGAATATATTGTACGACTCCGTGTTGCCGTTTTAAATATTAAAACTCGGTGCCATCGGGTCAGGTCATCTCCAAGCAAAATGACGGCGTTCTTCAAAAGATGACTCAAGAGGTATCGAATATTTCGTTGAATGACGTGAGTAGTATCATTCTACCAAATTCACCCACGTCAGTACTTGAGGTCATTGTGGACCGATACGTCTCATTCGTAGGTTTACTCGTGCTTTGGTGGAAGCTACAAGTCGTCGGCATTTTACTAACAACCACAAGAAAGGCAAACAACATGAAGAAAACATCTCTTTTTCCCCTCCTTTGGCGGTGACGTCAAATAGCATTTGGGTTGGCCACTTCATTAGGGACAACGAGGAGGAGGTAGACGCGACTTTTAAAAAGAGGCTTTCGTGTTTTGTTCGTGGAAGAGGCAAACGAACATTTGACTCAGGCACAACAACACAAACGTGCTTATTTTCTTTAACTTTCTCTGATGATGTAACAATTGAATGTGCGGGCGGGCGTACAGAATGTCTTGCGAATCGCGTCTGCTTGCCACATGAGGGGACAGTCAGTCGAAAACGCTCAATTTCCAAAAGCTTAACATCGTTTCATGTTCGCAAACCGTGACTAATCTTCACGGAAATGAAGTGGCCTGTATCTACCCATGGCCGCTTCGAACCTCTGAAAATATTACAGTGATCGACCCAATATTTTGGATTTTATGAAAGTTTTGCTACAGACGCTGAATGAGGAAAACGTTTCACGGGCAGAAAATCCAAAAATATTGGGTTGAAGTGGACATAAGTACAATTGTCTACATTAGTTATGGTGACAATTGATTGTCATTTTGAAGCAACGTGAAGCATTTTAATCCAAAATACTGGGGTGATCGTTCTGATGTATTCAGAGGTTGAAGTTTCAACATCCAAATTTATCCACGAGAAGAGCAGTGTAGGCAATAGAGCAGGTCCTCAATTGTTTTCTCATGAATGTATCTGTAGAGGAGGATTTTTGAGGGGTTTGAAGAGCTCATACCTCATTAGAAAGTTCCATCAAGATGGCCGCCCCTTGCCGCGTTGCTCCGAGTAGTTTTGACCTGTAGTTGTCCTGCTTACATGCCAAAGTTGCACTAGTGTACAGAAATGTCATCCAGTATAGTTAATAAACATGACTAGTAAGACAGTTGTTCTACTTGTGCATCGAATTGTCTGACTATTGACGACGAAGAGTGTACCAGTTCGCGTCCCCTCAACTGGTTAGCGAATAAATGCTCAAAAGCTTTCTATGGCAAAGCCAAGATAAAAAAAAAAAAAAAAAAAAGGAGAACTCGTGACCAAGTGCCACCGCTCTCCCTCTGGCTCACGCAGGAGGTTACGAGGAGCACAGCTGCGATGGCGGTGGCGCCGGCGGACCCATGAACGGGGGTGGTGCGGGCAAGCTGGCAGACCCTAAGGAGGATCCGCTGCCGGGGGTGGACACCTACAAGAACTTCAACACCATCGACTGGGTACGGGAGAAGAGCAAGGGCCGTGACAGACTCCGAGAGGTACGTTCTGTCTTTGTTTTTCTCTTTTGCAGACTTTGTTGTTGTTGTTATGTTTTGAGTTTGTGGCTTTCCATTTGTTTGCGTGTTTGTTTAGATTCACAGCAAGAGCAAAGAGTCGCTGTGGGCTCTGCTACTCAGCATCAGCGACGCCTTCTCGGGATGGCTGCTCATGCTCCTGGTGGGCCTCATGGCAGGTATGTACATCCACGTTCGTCACGTCAGTCACATTCACGTGTTGGTTCACCAAGTTTTTGTTTTTGCCGCACCAGGCGCGGTGGCGGCCGCCATTGACATTACGACCCACTGGCTCACGGACATGAAAGACGGCGTCTGTCTGGTGGGCTTCTGGTTTAACCACGAGCACTGCTGCTCCACTTCCAACCAGACCACCTTTCTGGAGTGGGACCGTTGTCCTCAGTGGCAGAGCTGGGCCCAGCTTATCACCGGGACCTCCCAGGTACCCCTCCCCCCCACCCCTTTAGTAACAGGGTTTTTTTGGGGGGTTTGTATTCAATGAAGGAAAGGGCATTTTGCCTACAGGCTTTCTCAACACCTCGGGCCACATGAACTAAAACAGAACGCAAATTTGATTACCCACACAAGTGTGTGTGGAAAATGATCTGCAAAACCAGGAGCAAACGGGCATGGTTGCCTTGTAGTTCCGTTTAGTGGCCATATTGACAGTTTGGCATTCAGGATTGACCTATTCACCGATTTATTATTTTTTTCCAATCATCTGCTATTCAGGAAAAACAAATCTGCGATTTTCTGTAGTGTGGCAAAAAAAAAAGGTGTGCACCAAAAATAGCAAACTAGTTGCTGAACAAAATTTCCGAGGCGGAACTTGGAAGCATCAACCACACACACACTTTCATCCTGTCACAAATGGAACATCAGCTACGGTAACAGCGCACATTATTATTATTTTTTTAACACCTACAAATACCCGCAATTTGTGTGTGTGTGTGTGTGTGTGTGCGTGTGCGTGCGTGTGCGTGTGTGTGTGTGTGTTTGTCAGGGTGGATTTGCCTACATGGTGGACTACCTCATGTACATGTTCTGGGCTCTTCTGTTTGCCTTCCTGGCTGTGGCATTGGTCGGGGCTTTTGGTTCGCATGCGAGCGGCTCTGGAATCCCCGAGGTGAGTTAGACTCTCTGCAACTTTCCGCTTGCATCCGTGTGCTCTGGCCTTTGTGTTTCTCAAAGCACACAAACATCAGCGTTTCCGGCTCGGGGAGCCATTTCATGCACACATTTAATGAGCAAAACATTCGGCACAGCAGTCTCGTCAACTCCGGTTTTTGGCAGGGCATACATTCAAGAACCACGCACCCACAAATAGGTGACAACTCCCATACGCTTGTAACGTCTTAAAACATAATTCCAAATCGGGACTTAACCGTATATAATCAAACCGACGGTTTCAAAAGTGGCGCTCTGGCAGGGGTTCAAATGCAGACTCACAGCTGTTTTTTTTTTTTTCCCCGTCTGCTCACTTGTGACTTTGGTCTTGCAGATCAAAACCATCCTGAGTGGTTTCATTTTCCGCGGCTTCTTGGGCAAGTGGACGCTGGTCATCAAGACGGTCACGATGGTGTTGGCCGTGTCATCCGGGCTCGCCGTAGGCAAGGAAGGGCCATTGGTCCACGTGGCCTGCTGCTGCGCCAACGTCCTTTGTCACCATTTCACCAAATTCCGCCAGAATGAAGCCAAGCGGCGAGAGGTACCGACCGGCTCAGTAACACCGCAACAACGGGCCACCCGTAGCTTCAGCCGTAGGTTCTTGGCAAAATGTCTCGGCGGCGGCATCCAAGACATTTGAGAAGCTCCGCTTGCTTGTCAGAACCCGAATGAGGTTTGTGGTTGCTGCGCAGGTGCTGTCTGCGGCCGCCGCCGTGGGGGTGTCGGTGGCGTTCGAAGCTCCAATCGGCGGCGTCCTGTTCAGCTTGGAGGAGGTGAGGCTCGACGGCGCCTACCATCAGCGTGAACGGGCAATGTGCGGCGTTTGCGCGCGGGTGTAAAATATATTTGTCGTGTGGGGGGGCAGGTGAGTTACTACTTCTCCCTGAAAACTCTTTGCCGTTCGTTCTTCGCCGCCCTGGTGGCCGCCTACACGCTGCACTCCATCAACCCGTTTGGCAGCGGCCGTCACGGACCGTTTGATGTGAACTTTCACGCTGACTGGCACCCGGTGGAGCTGGCACCCTTCATCCTCTTGGGAATATTCGGAGGCCTGTGGGGGGCGCTCTTCATCAAGGCCAACATTGCATGGTGCCACACACGTGAGTGCTCCTGCTTGCCGGCGTGCTTGAGAGTTGGTAAGCACGCCGCGCGTGTCCGTTCACCCCCCTACAGGCAAGTCGACCCGTCTGGGCCGCTGCCCCGTGACGGAGGTCCTGTTGGTGATGGCGCTGACCGCCTTGCTGGCATTCCCAAACATCTACACCAGGATGAGCGGCGAAGAGCTCCTTTCCAAACTCTTCGATGATTGCTCGCTGTTCAACTCCTCGCTGCTCTGTGGATACCAACAGGTAGGCGTGCTCTTGGCTCGTCGACTTTTTTTCTTTGGTCGTGTTTTGACTTTGTTGCGGCTGATTCAGTGCTTGCGTGCGCACTTTCTAGCATGCCAACACGTCCCAAACCGGTCAGGGGAACAGTGCGGCGAGTCGGCCGGCCGGAGAAGGTCTCCGCACGGCTTTGTGGCAGTTGGCTCTGGCCTTGCTCTTCAAGATGATCATCACCATCATCACATTTGGCATCAAGGTCACACACACCCACACACACGCCTGCACACAGTTTGGATCCATTTCTGTCTCATTCTTGCAGAAAACAGTTTTATGGGGCCAGATTGCAGTAATTTCATGGTGCACATTCGTCCTCCTTTCAAAACCGGTCATTTCATTGTCTGCTTTGACATTTGTTCTTGTTTTGCTTCAGAAGAGGAATTCTAAGCCATTGGTTGTCAAACTAGGGTCCCCGGGCCCATGCGGGTCCGTAAGCTGTACCTTTGGGGTCTACATAAACAAGTTGTAATGAAATGTGATGCTGTATCCTTTTTAAAAAAGTGAGCACCTGCATATGGGAAGCAATAAAACGATCATACGTTTCCTTAGAACCAGTTAAAAGTTTTTACGTGATTGTGACATTGCATGAATTTGACATCCTGAATGAATGTGGGGTTTTTTTTTTTGCATATTGGTACAGGAATGCAGTGTATATAATGGGTGTGATAAAAAGTGGTCACCTCACATTTTTGATTTCTCAAAAATACACATCAGTCAATCAGTCATTTCAGGAAGTACGACAAAGATATCAAGCTTGTCATGAAGAACAAGTCTGTGTAAATGTGTCACGGAGTACAAATCTGAAAGGTGTGCGTGTGCGCCGGGCGCAGGTTCCGTCAGGCGTGTTCATCCCCAGCATGGTGGTGGGTGCCATCGCGGGACGGCTGCTGGGCGTGGGCATGAAGCAGCTGGCCTACCACCACCACGACTGGATGCTCTCCCGAGACTGGTGCTCGCCTCGCAGGGACTGCATCACGCCGGCCCTCTACGCCGTGGTGGGTGCCGCTGCGTGCCTCGGTAAGATCACCTACCTGATCTTCTTGGTTAAGGGGACATTTCAGGACGATCTAGTGTTGGTTAAGTCTATTTTGTACTTTTATTCAATAAGCTCATGTTTTTTTCACACTTGCCGCCGGCCACTGCTTGAGCAAGATGTTGGGAGGCATTCCCAACTCTGTGTTCCAAATTCCCAAGTCGGACGGCATACGGGTACTACCAACGTTGGGCACTAGAGTGCGCTGATGCGTCACAATTGCCAGAATGCAGTCAGCATGTCGCAAGCACAGAACGCTGAAGGCCAAAATGTATCCGGTGACGCTTTGAACCTTTTAGATTTGTATGTGAGACGAAGTTTCATGAGGTTCCCCGCTCTTGCAAGACAACTCATATGAAAAGCCTCGAAGAAAAAGTACACATTTTGACAGACAGCTAACAGAATATTTTGGGCGATTAAAATACCAATGTAACAAATGCTGAGTGTTTCAAGATATCACTTTTTTTTTTGAATGATTGTTTTTCCATGTGAAACTAGATGAAGAAAAATAAAAGTAAAATTTTTGTACATGGTACACTTCACAAATGGTTTTCAAATGTAGAAAGCAATTTAATCACAAAAAAGTTTTGAAATGGAATTCTGTAGACAAGTTTGAATGTTGGCAGGTATGCTGCATAGACCCTTATCTCGTTCTAGTAACATTTTTTCATTATCACCAATATTTGAGATTTCAATTGCATTGGATGGGATTTTTTTTCTTGAGTTGCTCACAGTCTACTGATTTATTTTTTATTTTTTTTGCGTGTTTCATGCACACAAAGTGAAGTGGTCCTCATTGCACACAGTGTGTCAAAGCGGCCTCAATGTATTGCCTCCTTGAGCTTTGCAGCACATAAGGTAGCAGGTCGCTTCTAAGGCGCTCCTTCGTGTCCACAGGTGGCGTGACGCGCATGACCGTGTCCTTGGTGGTGATCATGTTTGAGGTGACGGGCAGGCGGGAGCACATCATGCCACTCCTGGCCGCCACCATGACCAGCAAATGGGTCGCCGGCGCTTTTGTACGGGTGGGATTCGATGAGGTGAGACTGCGTGTGCGTGTGAGGGGGTCCAGCTACAGTTCCGAGTTTGCCCGTGTTCCTGTCAGGCGCTCATCCGTCTAAAAGGCTACCCCTTCCTGGAGCCTAAAGACGAGATTGAGCACCGCAGTTTGGCCAAGGACGTGATGAGGCCCAGGAAGTCGGACCCCGCCCTGGCCGTGCTCACGCAGGACGGAATGACGCTGGGTCAGGTGGAGGTAAACGCTTACTAGAGTTGCGCGGTATTTCGGTGATACGGTATCCCTAGCGGTGTCTAACAAAAACAAATGCAGCGCACGCGGACCAAATATGATATTAAATATATTTTTTGATACCTCAGACGAATGTGCAGTTGTGTTTTTAACTCGGTATTACTATAAGTAAACAAATAGTTGGCTATAATGTTTCTTGGGGATTTATATTCTATTAGTCACGTGAAAGCCCATAAACCCACAAGAAACGAGGGTCACGTTTGGAAATTCCCTGTTCTGATGAGATTGAGTGTGAGGCAGAGTGAATTTCGGAATGCGCGTCAAGATGGCGGTTGCATCGCTTGCGCTTCCGGCGCATCGATCAGACAAAAAGCAACTACTACAATTTGACATCTTTTTTTTTCTGGTGTTAGTTCAAACGCCAACAGCGCAACACATTTCCGAGCTGCGCAAGACATTTTGAAATGCTCAGGGGCTGACGATCGTCTCGAAAAGTAAGCAAAATACGTACATTTCAGACAGGCGGCAGCCAGTGGATAGATATTGATAGATAGAGCATAGCTATCGATAGATAGTCTTCACTCTTGAGTGGCTGCTGCGTTGAAATGACACATTATAAAACGGCGCGTGGCTTATTTATATCCGAGCTACATATCTGATGTTCTGTAACAAACCAAGCTGCGTCATCATCGCCAAGGAATTAAATGAGTTAAGAGCGAAGAGAACGAAGAGGCTCAAGAGCGCATGCGTCGTGTGGAGACGGGCTACAATTGACCAAGCGAACCCGGAGCTATTGATCATTAAAATCAACTCTTAAGCGGTCACTGAGTCACACAGCTCGACATTTTATGAAAACCTTCGTCTGCTGGCCTCTCACAGTGGCGTACGAAGGGAGTCTGGCCATTTCAATGCCGGAGAGGACACGAAAATACTCAGGTTAGCTTAGCGCCAGATAGCAATTTGACAACAAGCAAGATTTAAAATTAGTCCTAAAGGATGAAGGCTTCAGAAAAAGAAAAGGTTGGAAGAACACCCTGTGTTCTGCCATTCGAAAGTTTACAGCGAGGGAGCCTGGAGTTTAAGTTATTGTACCCCAACGGTTGATGCTTTGTTGCGCTTAGTGGAAAAGTGGAGAAGTGGAAACCACCCTGGAGAATATTACTTGAGCAAAACTCTTAAAATTGTCTGACATATGCTGTGCTATAGTGTTAAAAGTAAGTTTATTATATTGAACGTACGTAAGTATTGAAAGTAAAAGTATTAATTTCATTTAAATTCGATTTTCTTCACTTTAGCGGTGTAAAGTGGTTACAAAAGTTACCATGAATATCAATGAAGTCGTAAAGTTCACGTAGCTTTAAATTCGACGTTTAAATATAGTAAAAAAAAAATAGTTGTATGTGAGCGCGAATGTTGTTTGTCTGCTTTCTGATCTTACGTTGACCCTGGGTAACCTTGTTGGTTGGCAGGCGCTGGTGAAGAGCACATGCTTCAGTGGCTTTCCTGTGGTCGTCTCCCAGCAGTCCAAGAGGTTGGTGGGATTCGTTCTCCGAAGAGATCTACTCGTAGCCATAGGTGTGTGCGTGTGCATCTGTGTCTAGTTTTTGTAACCGTGTGTCCACGTTGTCTTAAAAAAAAAAATCCCTTTGTGCCGTGTCTTCGCTCCAGATGATGCCCGTCGGAGGCAGAAGGGCGTGGTCAGTGCGTCCCAGGTGCTCTTTAGACAGCACGCCCCCACGCAGCCCCCTAAAGCCCCTCCTCACCTCCGCCTCCGGGACATCTTGGACCTCAGCCCCTTCACCATCTCCGACCGTATGCCCATGGGGATCACTGTCGACATCTTCCGCAAACTGGGCCTGCGACAGTGTCTTGTCACGCACAATGGGTAAGCTTGCGCTCACGCGCAAACACATACACACACTAATATTGTGAGTGCAGGACACGCACATGCGCGCGCGCACACACACACACACACACTCACCGACTTGGCCAATCTAGGAGTGTTCCGTGCCAACGGGCTTGAGCGTTGTGAAATAAGAGTGCGACATTCAAAATGACTTGTGTACTTTTGCTCCTTTTGTTCTGTTTTTTTGCTCTCGATTACGTTTAGGAACGGAGATCATCCATCTTTCCTCAATCATTAACAGACGGGTCCGTGTCACTGAAAGTGATTTTGAATGCATCCATACAGAACAGTAAACACCCATTACATTGCGGTTAGAACTGGAATATGACCGACATTTGAGGGGAACTTTGTTGACAGCTGTTACTGTTTTTTTGTCATGTTCATACTTTGTCATATTTTTGTCCCTTTGCTTTTACTCTCTCTCTCTGTCAATGTGTTTAAAAGTTTATTTTTCACAAGTGTGTTTAAATTGCCGTGAATAACATGCCGAGGTTGTATTTAAATAGGGTATTTCTGTATAGTAGAAATAGTGTAGGGGAGCAAGGGGCTTGTTGTCTTGATATGGAATTACGCTAAATGAAAAATCCGTTTTCCAAAAGTGATCCAAAGTGCTGCTTTTGTACCCTTCCCAACCAAACCAGGAAGCGAGTTGAGTATATTTCATTTTTGCTTGTTAATTTTCTAGTGTGGGTTACTCAGACGTGAGTTGCTCCAAGCGAGGTGTTTGTAAGGCAGGCAGATGGGCGGGCAGCCAGTCGGGGCTCTTAGTGTCACCATAATTCTCCCCAAACCACTTGAAATGCTTCCCTTCCAAGTCAGCGTGGTTTGGCGTGGCGCATCGCACTAGTCACCCACCCTCAATCCCCCCGCAAGCTTGACTTCCCATTCCAGGCCATGCCGCAAAGGGCCTCCTGTGGTGGTACGGTGTTGTGTGGCCTGGCCTCATTGCGCTTGTCTTTTGTCTCCTGTTTGTGTGGCTGTGTGCTTAGGAGGCTTCTGGGCATTATCACCAAAAAGGACATTGTCAAACACATGGCGCAGATTGCCAACAGAGACCCCGACTCCGTTTTCCTCAACTGAATGAGGCCGAACACCCGCTTGGATCCCGTACTGCTTTTTGCGCATGTGACGATGGTGACAACGATGCGCTCTGTTTGGCTGTCTGAGACCAGGAAAAAAAAAGGGGGGGAAAAAATCTTCCCCATTGTTACGTGGGAGAAGCCAGATGGAAGCCTCTGGAATATTTCACATCTGCTCCATTTTTTGTTGTTGTCGTCCTTCTTTTCGGTTCCATGTGAAGGAGTTAGCGGCCTCCTCTTCCTCCTCCCCCCCCCCTCCTTCTTCCTCGTCCAGTTTGCAGAGGATTTGTGAGCAGATAGAAGAATGCGGGACGTCAGAGAAGATAAAGTTTGAGTGAGGATCCCAGTGCCTGCCCCATGGCCGTCAGTCGAGGCCAGATGGAGCGCTCCGAGTCGGGCCTGACGGATTCTCTGGCCGCCCCTCCTCCTTCTCGCAGGCTGCCGATGCCTCCAGTGTGAGAAAGAGACGCAGGCGTGAACAAAGCGAAGCAATCATGTCAGTTACCACATGTCAAGATGGTTCACCCCACTAAATTATTCCTCTGTCCTCATATGATGGCTGCCTGAATTGAGATTTTCCCCAGTTCTTTGTCGTCTCCGTGAACCAGATTGCAATTCGGCAGCTCCTCCAGACTCCGACAAATATTATTCTGCACTATTGTAACACGTCCCAGGATTAGCAGAATTCTGCGCGCTTCCTCTATGTAACCGTTTGGAATGCGAGACGCTGGTGTGGCTCGCTGCTGTTCTTTGAGTGACCCCGGCTGGACACGGCTCGCGTGTCGGGTGGAGAGGAAGTGAAAAGTCAAGAAAAGGCTCTTCTTCCACATGTGTTGACCCGCATGTCCCCGTGAAGGACTTGAGGCCCTGTTGCCATGGTAACTGTTAAACTGCATTTTTTGCAGGGGCGTCCTTCTTATTTTCACTTTTTGGTTTTGCCTCAGAGCGCCATTTTGAGGTAAAAACCTTATCAAAGTGTTTCATCGAGTCATCGTATTCTTCCACCGACAGAGTTGCTCCGTGCGTTTTATTGCTGCATATGTTGACAAACTTAATGAAAAAGCCTTCGGGACCACTCAATGTTCTTTGAAACTGACAAAAGTCGTAAATACCAATGTAGTGGAAATGAACCGCTGAAAATGAGACATTTTTGCGGTCCAACAGGATTATGCTGCGGGTGGGTGGAAGCTCGTGAAAATGGCTTGAATTAAAAGCCTGAACGTAAATCTTAGTTGCACAATGTTTCAATGGCTTCAAATGATTTGGTAGAGTGCTCCGACCATGTCAGGTTTAAAGGGTGTTTTGTCCAGATGCCTGAGTATTTCATGAATTAAAAAAAAAAAAAAAATCTGCAATCATCTTTGAAACAACTTGTAAAGTGGTGAGCCTGGAATTTGCTGATACGCGCATTTGCTTGCCACAATGGGACGATGTTCTTGTGACAATTGTGAATTTTTCCAAATACTGTTGGGCAAGTGGGTGGGGAGAAGCTGAGAGGTCTGGCGAAGGCATGCCTCGAACCTAACAAGGTTGGAGCACTTGGCTCCAGGAGGCTGAGCCAAAAAAGAAAAAAAGCTGTTGAGACACGATTCAAAACTGATTCGGTATACCGTGTTCAGTCCTCTCCAGAAATATTGGAACAGCAAGATCAATTCTTTTGTTTTTTGGTTATATAGTAAAGACATTTGGCTTTCTGATCCAAAGATGAATATCACACCAAAGTTCCGGAATCCAGCTTTGCTCTCATGGTATTTACCATCAAGATGTGTTAAACAACTCAGGACAGATGGATCACCTTCAGTTGGAAGCCACACATTTTCAAGTGAGCAAAACTGCATGATTAAACGAACGTAAAAGTGAATAACGCGGAATATTTGGTGGCGTAACCCTCACTTGCAATAACCGCATCAAGCCTGCGATCCATTGGCATCGCCAGACTCTGCATACTTCATTTGAATTGATTTTCCAGGCCTTTACTGCGGCCTCTTTCAGTTCTTCTTCAGTCTCCTCTTCAGGAGGTCAAATGAGTTGAGTTAAGGTCCGGTGATTGTCTTGGCTAATGTAGGACCTTCCACTTTTCAACCCCTCGATGAAGTCCGTTGTTGTGTCTTTTGAGTCATTGTTGCACGATGGGAGCTTCTGATTGGTTTGGCTGCATTTTTCTGTAAATGGCCAGATAAAATGGTTTAGTATACTTGAGAATTCATTCTGCTGCGACCGTTATGAGTTACATTATCCATAAAGACTTTGAAAGAAGAAATATAAGATGCAAACCACACATCATGCAGCCAAGAGAATCGGAATGCCAGATTGGATTTTGGACAGAGATGAGTTTTTAACAGTTTTGGAAAGAAAGTTTTGTGGACTGATGAGACCAAGATGAACCTCTACCAAAGCATGGAGACAGAAGATCTGCGTATGATTATTATTATTATTATTATTGTTGTTTTTTTAGATCTTTTGGACCACAAAAACATTCTTTAACTGTCCTGAAATTTCAGGGTTTTTTTTTTTTTCAGTTTTCAAGTGGGAGTGATTAAGAAGTTGTGGAATATGATGAAACCAAAAATGCAAGCATATAACTTTTGTTCAGTTTATAAGAAGAGATTTATTATTGCATTCAATGTTTGTCAAAAGTGAAGAGAAATCGCCCTTGTTGGCACCGATTTTCTCACCAAATGAACAAAAGCATTTATCAAGAAACATCAAATAGTCGCGCTTGAGTCACTTGCGCGCTTGATTTGTAGACGCTCCGGAGCAGTGCCAACAACTCGTCGCAATCTCTGCGAGAAGGTATTTGTCGAGGGAGGGAAGGGGGTGGGGGTGGAATGTGCGCGCCGTCCTGACGACTGACTTCTCTTCCCGTGCCCGCTGACGCTTCACATGGGGCTCGAGTTACCCACCTGACTTGCTCTCACACGCGTTCTGCGCCTCCCCCGGCCCCATCTCGTTACATTGCGCTTTTTGATCTTGGAGTGCAGGTGAGGGCATTCCCGCGTTCCCATGGCCGCCGCCATTGTCTTGAGCAGCGTTGCGCCAATCCGAGGAGTCACCCTACACCCAAAAGTGTCACATCCCCAGCACATGACGCGTGCGCGTGCATATTTGTGCATATGTGCGCGTGTGTTCGTGCACGCGCGCATGTGTAATGCAACCTGAGCCACTATGCGGTGTTGCGTGGGCGCCCTCTTGGCCTCACCTGAGGTGCTTTCCCACAGCTTGACTCGCTCACGTAACGCAATGACGCCGCTGACCTTTGTTGTCAAAACACGTCGAGGTGTCCACCTGAAGCTCCCTTTGTGTTGTCTCGATTCTCTACGGGGGCGCTCTCCTTCCTCTCATCTTGCTAAATAAGCGACGTTTCTTAAGTGCAGTAAAAAGCAAAATTAGAAGTAAAAATACAAGTACCGTATTGGCCTGAATATAAGACGGTGTTTTTTGCATTGAAATAAGACTGAAAAAGTAAAGTGGGGGTCGTCTTATATTCGGGGTCTAAACATTATACCCATTCATGACGCTAGATGGCGCCAGATACCATTGAAGCGAATGCTGAACTTGACTCCCCAGGCCAAAGCGAACCCCTGTCACGAAGAATAAAAATAAAAATAGCGGTAGCACAAAGAAGAAAAATAAAAAATAGCGGTAAGAAAGAAAAGAGAAGAAAAGAATAGAAGAGAGAACAGAAAATGGAGAAACGTAGCGACAATCTGGACAAAAGTGGGTGGAAGATCGGCCAGGTTAACCGGCAGCTAAGGAGAAGTTATGATGTCATTTACATTTCAAAAACCAGAAGCCATTCATTTACGAATGATTGCACTTGAGTTTACATATTTAAATGTTCAGATATTAAGATTTGAATGAGGCAAAATAACATGCTTTTTCTCTCAAATATATTGTTAGAATCATTTGTTTCAGATGTACTGTAATTATTTTCTGTATAAAAATTAATTTGGTGTTCAAAAAGTCTTTTTTTCAAACTTGAGTCCAAAAGAGGGGCTTGTCTTATAATCAGGGCCGTCTTATATTCGTGCCAATACGGTACTGGTTCAACTCCTTCAAGGTTAAAAAAAAGGATTGATTCTGATGTCTACATGAGAAGAAAAGCAAAATGTCATTTTAACAGTTTTACCGATCCAGCGGGGAAACGCAAAACGGCCGATTTCAGGTCGCCTGAAATCATTTTGAGTTCCAAGGGGAAGCTCGTTGCTTGTGATGACAAGAAGTTGGAAGTTTTTCAAGGGAGCGGGCATGAGATGCTCCCTTGATAGGAAGCCCGCTTCCAAACTGCGTCGTAGGTCTTCATGACCGGCGCCCTTGCTAGCTTGCGTGCGTGCGCGTTCCCAGGCGCTTTTGGCTCGAGGTTCCTGCAACCATGCCTTTTGTGACTCCATGAGGAGCGGGGGAGGCTTTTCAAAGACCTTATCGAGCGCTCAGTAATGCTCGAGGCTTTATTGCATTGTTTTAGGTGCCCTGCCAGGGATTGCGATAGCATGACGATAGCGCAACTCCCACTGCTTTTGCAATGGCCGGTAGTCGGGCCAGTAGGGCCGCAACCTAAGTATTGTTGTGTGGCTTTCAGTCTCCGAATCTCGCCTGGCCCCACTTAATCTCTTCAGGATGTTTTGGGATCTGTGTGTGTATGTATGTGTGTGTGTGTGCACGCGCGCGCATGCACTTTGTAAAAGTAATTTCCTGATTGGCTTGAAGGAAAACAGTGCAAAGCAGCTAATAATAATAACGTGGCAGCGCTGGCCGCTGTTGATAAATGACGAGGTGGGTGAGAATGAGAGATGGTGGGGACAACGGCTTAAGAAGGAAAAGAATGCCGCTCGGAGGTGACTGGGCGCGGGATGGGTGGCGAAGGTTGAACAATAACATTCGGCCTTTGTTCAAACACACAATAAAGATGTCGGACCATCGAGAAGCACATTAACTTCAATGGATGTCACCAACCAGCTGACAGCCAAAGACCACCGTGACAGACATTCTTGAACTACATTCGAAAGCCGGACCGCATATCGGACACAGCTGTCTAACAGGCGGGATAATCACAAACATCGTCGAATGGCCTTTGTGTTGAAATGATTTGCACCGCGCAAGCAACTGCCGGTTGAATGTGCGTTTGGCCACATGTCTGCGGATGTTTAAAGCCAGCAATGAGTGAGTCGTCTCCTAAATCAGCTTCACTCGCTGCGAGCGCCGCGCTAGCCACATCGTCAACGGGCGATCAAACTGCAGGGAGCTGGACGGTGAAGTGCAAAGAGCCCTGCGCCACGCCGCTTTCTGGGTCACGCCACTTTGCTTCATGTTTTTGGCCGGACGTCGGCACGCTGCGCCGCAGTCGGAGCTTGGCCTTCATCAAACCGGCCGCTTCGCGAGTCGTCGTCGTCATCGTGTACTGCTCTCCACAAAAAACAAACGAATGGCATCGTATGAAGACTTTTGTGGACCCTTGTGCCGTGCATGACCGTTGTCACTCTGCGCTGAGCTGCCTGTGTAATTTCAAGCGAGTAGACTCAACTCATGACTTTGGTTGTGACTTAAGTCTGAACTCAACTCAACTGTATTTATAGAGAACTTTAAATCAACCACCGCTGTATACAAAGTACTGTAAATTGAGCAAATATCATATATACAACAATAAAACAAGACAGAAAGCACAAAAACAGTAAACCTAAGATCAAGTCTGAGTCATGCTGAATCAAAAGCCAAAGAATACAAATGAGTTTTGAGATGAGTTTTAAAGGTGGGCAGCAAGGGGGCTTGCCGAGTGTCCAGCGGGAGGTCATTCCCAAGAGAGGGGGACCAACAACGGAAAAGGCTCGGTCCGCTCTCAGCCTCCGCTTAGTTCTTGGTACCTCTAATAACGTCTGGTCCTCAGATCTGAGCCGCCGGGCCGGTGTGTAGGGGCGAAGCAGCTCAGAGAGGTAAGGTTGAGCGAGGCCATTTAAAGATTTGAAAACAAATAATAGGATCTTAAAGAGAACTCTAAAATGTATCGGGAGCCAGTGAAGGGATGCCAGAGTAGGAGTTATGTGCTCCCTCTTACGAGTACCAGTCAAGAGGCGAGCAGCAGCATTCTGGACCAACTGGAGACGCTTAATGGCGGATTGGCTGACTCCCAAAGTAAAATGCACTACGGTAATCCAGCCGGGATGTGACGAAGGCATGAATTACTGTTTCAAAGTCTCATCACGGCAGATTCTATATGGACATGCATTAGTTAGCTACGCTAACACATTTGCATCACATTGTTCTGGCATGGGCCCAAAGGCGTCTGTGTAGCGTCTTCCTCGATGCTTCTGCCACTGACAGGCCGAAGTGGCCTTTCACTTTGTTGATGTTTGACCGGTGATCGATGAGCTAAACTTTCAAGTTAACAGAGCCGCCGACTCGCCTTTGTGGCTCTTCTCGTGACGCATTTCAAGGTCGATAGCCCCCACCACCACCACACACCTACCCAGGAATCTGCAGAGAAAAGGTGTTCATTGCACAGAGAGCTTTGCATCACACACTACACACGATGAAAACTAGTTGTAAAGATAAAATTGTGTACCTCACTCTAATTTCCGCGGACTGTTTTTGATTGCACCGAGGGTTTTGGAATTTGCTGCAAATTTCGCGATTGCGGATTGTCTGCCAGTGATTTGAGTTGGTTCCTAATTAGGCCTTTTTCTTCTCCTACCATGGGGCTCGCATGTAACATTTTGGCAGAGAAAGGCAAAGAGGCGTGCCAGAGCACTTTTGTTTTACTCTTCATACGACACACGATGACAATTTGAGTTCATGTCGTGCGAAGGCGAGCGTACAGCTCGGTGATGGGCGTCGTCGTGTCGTCAGAGGAGTAAATCAAGTCCCGCTTTGAAGCTTTGGAGAGCTTCGTGTCCAAAGAACAAATCTTCATATGTCCTTTCAAATTACAATCAAAAAACAAATTAATCCGGCGCTGGCCTGCTTCTAATCTAACATCTAAGACCACGCACCGCTTAATTGATTGGTTCCATGTCTGCGCATGGCGTTTTTACAACACCTTAAAGAAAAGCACAACATTCCTCTCTAATGGTTGCGTGGGCAGAAAGACCGCACTCGGCGTCAGTTGGCCTAAATGCCCTCTGAGCTCAGAACGCAGGCCACAACGTGAAGTCATGCGCTTGATCAATTACCCTTGAAGTGGGGTGTCAGACTTGTGGCGCGGGGGCCCAATCTGGCCCCTGCATCATTTTAGTGGGCCTCCTCACGCACACGGTGTCTACTTAATGTTTCTTGCTGAATGGATTTGCTCTTTTCATTTTGACAGAAAATCTGCATCAAAATTTCTGTTTTTCTTCCAATTTGACAGCATTTTTTTTCTTGAACAATAATTGAACAGTCATATATTTATTTGTCACCATTTTCCACGACTTCTGGTTTCAAACTGTATTTGTTTAAAAGAAGAATACAGATAATGATACCAAAATTCAGGGAAATAACACTTAACTCTGCAGTAGAAGTAAAAAACAACTCAGATCGTGTAGTTGCATATGTGTGCACACCCACTTATAACTGGAGATTCTGGCTGTGAACAGAATTAACCAATCCCTTTCAAACTTCTTGAATGGGAGTCAAATCTGCCACCATTTAAAAGGACTCAGAAGTTCAAATGTTCTTGTTGGCTTTAACCTTACAGTTCTCCTACAGTACCCTAAACCCCCCCAAGCATCTCATCTGGGCGGGACCTCATTGTTCTGCGGTATCAGTCAGGAGAAGGCGACAAAAGAATTTTTAGTGGAGAAATACGACACTCCTAAATTGCTGTCAAGCTGAGAAGACAACTGGTCATTTAGGCTGGCAAGAGGCCGACAGAAACATTGAAGGCACTTCAGGAATTTCTGGCAAGTACTAGCTAGCAACATGTGACAACAATCTCCTTTCATCTTCATATGCCTTGGGTAAGGTGGCAAGACAGAAGTGTCATCTTAAAAAGAAACAACTGATAAAAGTACGGTTGGATTTCATAGCTACGATTTTTAAAAGGTCAACACTGCTCACAAATCAAAGAACACAATACTTATGGTAGGGTGTGAAGCAATTTGGTGCCAGCTCGGGCATTTATTAATGTGGCGGAGTTGTGAATCGTTCCAAAAAGCAGTCAATGCTGCAAGCCTTTAGGCTTCTGCTAAAAAGGCAAAAAAAGGGCAGGAAGAGCCGACTAGAACACCTGAACTTTATTTGGGGTAAATCTGATGCACTTTAATGGTGGCAGGTCTGTGCTGACTCTATTTAACATGAGTTTTAATGCGATGTGGTAATTATAAGAGGAGGGGGGTGTGCACATTTGTGCAGTTGGCTTTACTTTTACTTCCCCTCTTGAAAAGACTGGCAAAAACTAATTTGCAGGCCACATTACGGTGGAAGAAGTTTTAAAATGAAATCTTACTGTGGCCTCATTTTTTTGTTTTGTTTTTATTACCCAACAACCTGCCCTTGACCAGAGCTGTAAGCCCCGCCCCCCTCCCCTTTCCTAAGCAGCCCACTGAGGGAAAGCAGAACAACTCTGGCCCGTGACGACTTTGACAGGCTTGCTTTCGGAGAATACGGCAACAAGAGGCAGAAAATATCTTTGCCACTGTGATTTGATGCCATGAGAAAAAGAGCGCTGAGATTGTTTTACCAGCCCGGACGCACTCTGCTGGAAATGCAATCTGATCTTGGGCACAACGCGTGGAATGTGGCTCCAATGAACCGGTGCCATGTTGGGGGCGGCACCGGAGCGTCGACTTTCACCTTAAAAGGCCTTCATTTTCTCCAGATAGATGGAGACTTTATTTTTTTTTTTGGGGGGGAGGGCAGTGACGCGGCCAAAACAAACGTTATGTTGCGGTGGAATGCCAAGATCAAGCTGAGCCCATCGCCACTCAAACTGACAAACGGATCCAAACAGCACTTGGCGCAGCCAAGACCTTCCCTCAAATGCTCATTTCGTTTCGCCCATGATGCTCACTCTTGCGGAGAACTTGTTTTAAAGACAAGCCGAGCGCCCGTCGTGGACCTCTGGAAATGCATCCATCCGCAGCCCAAAATGTGGAACGAAGCCTTCCCGGAAGCCACTCCGAGGTGCCAACAATGACAAAAGGAGCAAGGGAAAATCGTCCAAAATGGGGAACCACGTTGGAACAGATTGCTCTGGTGGTTTCCACTTAAATCCACGACATCAGATTGTCTCGTTTACAAATGTGCAGCTGTGATCATTAAAACAATTTTCCAACACTCCAAGCCAAAGACAGAGGACAGGCAGCAGGCCGGCTCGCGAATAATGACAATCTGCATATAATTGATGACCATTTACCAAAATGCATTTTCCACAAAAAAAAGGGTGAAATTGGGAAAATTCTCTCCCCAAAAACAAAAATTATTGTGGTAAATATTGAAAAAAACACTTGAGGGGGAATCAACAAATGGTATGCGGATTTTTTTTTTTGTCGCGATCCACTTCGAAGTTACGGCTTCCCTGGGCCGGTGTGAAAAGTGAAAAGTTTATTTATATTTATTACCCATGACAATTTGACATTTCGGTACAAATTTCAGCAAGAATCATGATAGTTGACACACATGATTTGCTCCCGCGGGCCGCATAAAATGATGTGGGGGGCCAGATTTGGGCCCCGGGCCTTGACTTTGACACCCGTGGTCGAAACAGTCATGTAGGTGTTTCTGTGCCAACAATTGACCTTGACTTTTGACGATGAGCCCCTCAAACCACACACACACACACACACACACACACACACACACACACACACACAGACACACACAGAAAGTTGAAAGGTCTGGCCAGAGAGCGTGGCCACATGTGTGCCTTTGTGTCTCCGCTGGCTGATGACGTGTGTGCGCACATGCGCTGGGTCCAGAGTGGTTTGCGTCTGTAGATATCCTCGTCCTTTCTTTCCTTTAATTTACTGGACAAACTATTTGGCTGCGTCCAAATGAGGAGCAGATGCGTCGGCTTGGTGCTGCTGTCAGCAAAAAAAAAAAAAAAAAAATGTTTGCACGTGTGTACCTACTGCACATTTGGAGGCTGCGTCTTTGAGCGGCGCAACTCTTGACAAACTGCACTCGCACCAGCATCAACTCACGTCAGTAATGTCTTGGCTTTAAAAGCCCCACAAAACTTGTTTTCATACCAATTTTTTGAAAATTTTTGCTTTATTGAGTACTGGACATCGTCCAAAGGTTTAATTTGTGTATAAAATGTAAACTTTAGTGAAACTTGTGCAAATATTCCAAGTTGGGCTTTGCCGGTTATGCAGGAAAGACCAGGTTTGTCATTGGAGTTGGACTATTTACACGAGAAAGAGAAAGACAAGGCTAAACTGGTCCGGCTGCTGGTGAGCCTCGACCTAGTTTTTTTTTTTTTCCCTTCATCTGGCTCAGTCTCCTCCTCCTCCTTTTCCTCTTCATCACTGTCCTCCCTTAAAAAAAAGTTCTCAGTGAGAACCACAAGTGGCTTTAAACTGTCAAAGCAAAAGTACAAATGGTCGACTTTTTCATATCACCACCCTTCACTGATTTGTATGTACACACAATCGTCCTGGCACGTGTGATTTCTGCTCCGCATTCCTTCAACGTTTTATTGTCTGTACATTCTTCGGTCCGGAGTCCAAAACTTAGGATTCCCTCGCAAGAAAAGCAGCACTCATTATTGCTAAAAAAAAAAAAAAAAAATCCTTCCCGGAGGATTAAAACATGTTCATCAGCAGCCTTGTGTCTTTTTGCCCCCTTAGTGGTTTGCTCTGGCTCAAAGAAGTTGTCAGGACTTTGTCCCGCCTTTTCACTCTCATCGAGTTCCTCGCCTGTCGAGCGGTTCTGCGCATCCTTCCAAGCAAAGCGGGAAAAGTCAACTTCCGGACCTCGGTCCTCCTCTGGTTCGCGGATGGTCCTCCCATTTACGCCGGCGCTCAGAGGTCCAGTCTGAAGGCGCCGAAGTAGCTGGAGGACTCGTCTGCGTTAAGCATAGTCGGTGACGAGACGGAGACAAAGATTTCGTCGCCGGCCCTCAGCTCAAAAAGTCCCCCTTGGTAGACGGAATGGAGGGCGTACTCCGCGTCAGGCGCCCAGCACTTGGTGCCGACCCCCTTCAGAAGCTGCCGGGTGGAAACGGACGGCGTCAGCGAGCTTCGACGCAGCGACCGGGCCTGCTAGCTTACCTGAATGGGACTCGGGTAGGAGGTCTTCTTGTAGACGCACTGCACCAGCTGGTGGCTGGCGCTGCGCTGGTCCACGTCACCGCTGGCGGGCGACGGGTAGCGGAAGTACACCTGGAAGGGACGTACGGGCGGCTCATGTCGGAAACGTTCAGGGAGTAGACGTGTCGAAAAGGAAAGGAGGCTCACCTGCGAGTACAGATAATAGCGGCCGTCCTGGGGAACCCGCAGCCTGCCGTTGCTCAGGGTCATGTTGTGCAGGTGAGCGCCCAAGCTCCTATTGGCCCACGAGCGCACCACGTGGCGGCAGGACTGGTGGAGTCCCGTCTGAGGGTACCCTGTTGGGCGGAAGAGGGACGGAAAGTCAAGTAAGGCCTCATTTCGTCTAACGATTGCCAGTCCCTATGGCTTCCAAATGACGTGTTGTAGAGCCACCAAGTTCCCAAGTACTCACCTTGCAAACTGGTGTCCCGCAGGGTCAAATGGGCCGAAGGCCTTTGGACAACTGAGCTCAAGAACTTTGACCCCGAGTTGTTGAAAGAGCGAGGCATGGTTCTGGCCACTGAGATCACATGAAGATACAGCAGCGGTATAACAAACACTGGCTCAGAAACAAAGTACATGTCTGTGTGTGTGTGTGTGTGTGTGTGTGTGTGTGTGTGTGTGTGTGTGTGTGTGTGTGTGAGCGCTTACCCATAAAGGTTTGTTTGGAGATCATGTTCTCAGTCACCTGAAAGAAGAAGAAAGTGGAACCAACTTTGATAAAAGCACGGGCGGCTCAAGATAATACATGAAGGCTAAGTTGTTGCAGTCATTCGGCTGTTTTCCCCTTCAAATTGGTTCATTAAAACGTGTGCAGTCACGATTATTTTTTTGGGTTTTGATTTATCTCATGAAATCACTGGTGAATGGATTTTTTGGATCGTTTGTTGATGAATCTATTAGTTACATAAACCATTGAAATAATATGTTCTTGTGACCTTCCATTATTCATGCATCCATTATGCCTTGTTGACAGGTTGCGCAAAGTCCTTTTTTTTTGTTCCGCTTGTGCAATATCTGATTCCATGGCGGTTTGATGTGGCACGCGCGTCTTCTCCGCCAGCCTCCATCTGTTTCCTCTCTCCCGCTTGCTCCGTCGTCGTCCGCTTCCAAGCGCAGCGGATGCTCACCTGCTTTAGCATCAGTTTGATTTTCCCCGACAACCCGGCTGGTTGTTTTTACTCTCCCGTGTCCGTCACGTCGCGGGGCGTCCCGGAAGCGCTCGCGCAGCCACGCCATGTAAATCAGGCTTCGGTCATTTCCTTGGTCCGTTCTCTTCGTGTTTTCCCTCATATTCCCATGCCAGCTGTTAGCTGCCACTGAGTCCCTCCTGCTATGAATCTCCCCGAAAGGCCCTAAAAAGCGGAATGTGATGGATGAGAAGTGAGCTAATGGTGACCTGAGGTGGTGCTGTTAGCAGCTGGCCTTCCTCTCCCGCAGCTGACACTCAAGCTACAAATTGCAGTCGACGCTTCCGGCTTTGGACAGAACACGCAATAGTATGAACCGCAGAGTGTGGCGGTTTGAGCCCCCCCCCTCAGTGGGTGGGTCCGGTGAGAGGCGGCAAACATCGACCTGAGAGACCGATTCTTCCAAGTCATTCCGAAAGGACAAAAAAAAGCTGGGCCGGTGGCAACGACCCGTTTGAGGTCACAGTGGAATGTGGCGGCTGAGCTGGTTGCTGCAGAAACGCTGA